CAATTAAGGACCTGTTCGCGGGATGCCCTGGAAGAACTTATCGTACTTACCACAAGCCAGCGTGGGCAACGGCTGGGCTTGTAGTGTAGCTCTCCTCTAGTCAACGCATCCAGGCAAGGGTGGGCGTGATGGAGCGGGGCGGGCCCTGCGACGGCCTCTGTCGCTTCCGGATTCACCTAGGCACGAGAGGGGACTGCCCGTTGCCCGCTGGGGACGGGGGTGAAACCTGAGGTGTGGTGTGCTTGGCTAGAGGGGGTTATGCGAAGGGTCCTGTCACGGCCTCTTTCCGATATGTCGTGGTGGCATGTCGGCGCATGGAAACGTGTTGTGGGGCTGTGTCTTGTGGGTACAGTTGTACACCTCTGATCAGAGTAAAACTATTCGAATAGCCGTGCCCGCGGTTATGGGCGGTCAACCAGATTCACCGTGATTAGTATCACCCTAGTGTAATCTTTAGAATTTGGATAGTTTAGGTGGATGGTTGGGCCTGTTGCAACGTGGGATAGCGTTGGACAGTGGATAGTTAATACTAATTAATTATTACAACTGTTTAATCTTTCAACTTCTGTTTATAAATGCTCGCTTTATGCAAATGATCCACTTTAGCTCTTCTTTGATGATTCCCTGCATCATGCCTCTATTCCGGTATGACTTGCTGAGTACAGTGGGTAGTACTCAGTCTTGCTCTACTTTTCCCAACCCCAGAGTACGAGTATGTGTCAGATGAAGGTTTCTCCGAGGAATAGGCTTTGCCCGTGCCGTCGAGGATGCCTGTGGAGTGGTGTTCCCGCTGCAGTTCTAGTCAAGGCTTAGCTCCTGTTGTCTTTCTTTCTTTCCGCTGCATTTATGTAAGACTTTTATGATATTTGTAAGACGTGGATCTGAATGTCAACATTGTCGTTTGTGTACCCCGGCCGGTCCTGGACGGGGATTTTAATGCACATTCTGCTTGGAATTCTATTCGGGAATTTCTGGGCGTGACATTCATCAACCTTCCTTGCCACCTCCTCTTGCATGCTGAGCTCGTAGCTCGATACCCTGAACTCAAAATCTGCAATCTTCGCCTCGGTATCTCTCTTGCTCCTCATCCAACTCCTATACGTGTGGATGTCCTCCTTGAACCCAATCTTCCAAGGAATCACTCCTTTCCCTCGTGTTCGTCCTGGATGCTCTGGAGTCTGCAGGGCGAGTAACAGCTCGTCCTTCTCTCTGTCCGGTCGGAACGTGCCCTGAGAAGAGGCTTCCACTACGTCTGTTAGTCAACGCGCAGCCTCGCGTATCTGATCGCCGAAGATCAGGGAGCCATCAGCTGGGTTGAGCGTTCCACCGTGAGCATAGTACCAGAACTTCGATCATTCCGGCCAATTAGCGGTGGCCGGTTCGATACCCCTCTCAAGCAAGCTAGCCTCTATCTCCTCCCACTTCGGCATCGTGACGCTATAGCCGCCTGACCCCAAGTGGTGATGGTACTTCTTCTTGGTAGCATTTTCTTTGTTTCTTTCCATCATCGCCTGCCCTTGTTCACCTGTCTTATATGCAACGAACTCGTCCCAGTGATCCCTTAGCTTTGGGAATGTGTCGAAGTTCGGTGTCTGCCCCTTCAGGATATATTTCTGGTACAGATCTCCCTTGAAGCTCTGAAACTGTTCTGCCATTTTCTTCAGAGTCCACCTTTTCACTTTGTCAAGAGACGGGCGGGGCGTGGACACATTGCGCGAGGAGGGAGGAGCATTGGCCCGGGGCCACGACGTAGGAGGGATACCGCGATTCTGCCATCAGCCACAGCTACACATACTCCATCGCTTTCATCCCCATCCCCCAGTGGCTGCACATCCATGTAGAAGTGGGCAGGGAAGTAGGACATATGTCGTGGTTTGGGGGCAGATCCGCTAAAAAGTGGATATCCGCGCGCCCTTCCCCTGCGTGGATAGACGCGTGGCACGCGGCGCGCGCCCCTCCCCCTGCGTGGATGGACGCGTGGCACGCGGAGAGGGGGGGCAGTCGCTCGCGCGTGGGAAGCCCACGTGGGTGGGTTTTTTTGGTTGGTTTTCTTTTTAAAAAAAATAGTTTTCTCTGGTTTTCTTTTTCTTTTTTTTTGGTTTTTTGGTTTTTTATACGTGTGGATACAAACTTTATATACATACATGTATATAAACTTTATATGCTCATATACAAACTTTATATGCGTGTGTATAAAGTTTGTATATGTATATACAAAGTTTGTATACATGATATATTTTTTAGTATTTTAAATTTTTTAATACGTAGTATATAAACTTTGCGCGCGCGCATATATATATATATATATATATATATATATATATATATATATATATATATAATTATAGTAGTAGTACTAGTATTAATAGAACTACTATTACTACTATTACTGGTAGTGGTAATGTGGTAGTATTAGTAGTAGTTGTAGTATTTGTAGCAGCAGTAGTTATACTAATGGACTAAGGCGGGCAAAACTGACCGTGCGGGTGCAGCCCCGCGCGGCTGGTCACCGACCAATCACACCCGGGGGAGGGGGGTCTGGTCCGGCACCACGCGGTGGAGAGAATGGAGTGGGGTTCGGCAGGCGGCCGTTCTCTCCCTCAAATTTTTATTTTATTTTTTGAACTTTTTAAATTTTTAATTTTAAAACAAACTCTTTCAAAACTTATTTTCAAGATATGAACCTTTTGGCTACACCAGTTAGATTGGCGTGGTAAAATAATACTATCACATTGGTCTGGCTAGTATGGCAGCGTTATTTGGTCACGTCGGTCTGGCTGGCGTGGCAACGTTATTTGGTCACACTATTCTCGCTAGTGTAGTAGGACAAAATTATTATGCTCGCTATGTGTGGGGTGTCAGTATTGTTTTGCCACGCCAGACTAGTTGATATGGCCAAAGGTTTAGATTCTGTAATAAGTTTTAGAATGGTCTGTTTTTATAATTTAAAAATAAAAAAGTTCAAAAAAAAATCCTCCCCCTGTAAGGTGATGCCATCATTTGAGTGGATGGCCAGCGCCTTTGCCGTGGCCAGTCAAAATGGGTCGGCTGTGGTGGTGGCGCCGATGCTGCCGGAGCTAGCAAGGCCGGTGCCGTCGGGGTTGCCAACGAAGATGCAAGCATGGGCGGCACCAAATTTCTCCGTGCAATATCGGACCAAAGACCCACTACTACGACTGGCCCATAGGTACCAGTTTATTTAAAACCGATACCTATACCCCTTTTCTCACCTCTGCCACAATGAAAAAAATATAGAACCGGCACCTTTAAACACATAGGTGTCAGTTTTAGGGAAAAAACTGGTACCAATACTACATGTGTCGGTTTTTTAGAAGAATCGACACCTACACTTACATTACAGGTATCAATTTTAGAGAAAAACAGGTACCAATACTACAGGTGTTGGACTTTTAAAAAAACCAACACCTATAATATAACTATAGGTACCGGCACCTATTAAAAAAAATAGGCCATCATCCTTCCTCTCCGTCCTTATATTTTCGAGACTGCCTCCTCTCCATCTCTCTCACACTGGTCTCCTCCTCTCCACCGTCCTCTCCATCCGCCACCCCTCCTCCCCCCTTCTCCTCCGCGTGCCGGCGGCGGTGGCCCCTCCTCCCCTGGCACCCGCCTACTTCACGTCGCACGCGTGTGGTGGTGAAGGTGGCGGCAACGGTGGTATAGGTGCCGGTTCCAAATCTGGCACCTATAAGACCTTTGGAGCCAGCACCAATGAGTATTTTTTTTAGCAGTGACCATGGCATGGCAACACCATTGCGGCATCTTGCGAAAGGTTTTGGGGAAGAGCCACTCGATGCCGATGGCAAAGGTAGAAGAATGAAATTGATTCATGTTCTTACCTTGGAAGAAATCGACCAATCTCCTGTTGACGAAGAACGTATTCTTGGCCTTCTATCGTTAAGTGGAACAACTAACGTGCGTGATAACATGTTAGAAGTAAAGAACTCTAGAGATGAATGATTCTTGTATTTACTTTTCACTTGTACATGGCATTACTGGGGAAGGGCTCTTTAGTCTCGGTTTATAACCCCTTTTAGTCCCAGGTTGTAAACCGGGACGACCAATCCGGGACTAAAGATACTCAATGGATTTTTAGTCCCATTTTAGTCCGGTTGGTTAGGCTTTTTTCTTTCCTTTATTTTTTTTTGCTTCTTGCATTTATTGTCACCCTCATCCCCACAAATCATCCCCAAACCACACAAATCATCACCAAATCATGCACAACAAATCATCCACAGTTCTTAGCCCATCCACAAAATCATCCACATCCACGAGTCATTCACAAAATCATCCCAAAATCTAAAATAATCTACAACAAAAATTACAAATCATTCCAAAAATAAAATTTTCACAAAACACGCCGTCCGGCCGTGTGCCGCCTCTCGGCCTCCGCCGCCCGGCCGTCTCCGCCAGGCCGCCTTCGCCCGTCCGCCGCCACCCGGCCTCCCCTCCCACCGGATCTGGCGGAGGGTAGGCCGTCGGCCGTGTGCTGCTGCCGCTTTGGCGACCCGACCTCTGCCGCCCGCCTACCGCATCGTGCGCCGCCGGGCCGCCACCCGCTGTCGCCGTCGTCATCGTCAGAGGAGGGAGGGGAGAGGGGAGGAGAGGGGAAGGGGGAGGAGAGGGGGAGGGGGAGGAGGTGGAGGAGATCGAGAAAATGAGAGGGGAGGAGGAGAAGAGGAGGGGATAAGGACGAGGCAGCGCGCGTGGCTCGGTGCAAGGATTTTCGCAACTTTTTTTAACTTTAGACCCGGTTGGTATAAACAATCGGGACTAAAGATGGACACCAACCGGGACTAAAAATAACAGGGCTCTGATATGTTTTTGAACTAGGAGTAAAAGTAATATTTAGTTCCGGTTGGTGTTACTAACCTGGAGTAATGATCAAAAAATACCTGTGTGTTTTCAAACCGGGACTAAAGATATTTTTAATCCTGGTTTTTACTCAAACCAGGACTAATGTGATTTTTGAGTGAACCAACAAAGATAATTTTTTCAGTAGTGTGGGATGATTACATACATATATATAGCCCATGAAGGGGCATGAATCTTGTACATGGGATGATTACATACATGTATATAGCCCATGCGTCCCTTGCTAATTGATCACATGGAGATTTAGTTTTAACCGAATGCTAACGAAGGAAATGGAAAGGTAGCGAAAACTACTCCCTTGCATGAACCTTCCGAATTACTGCTGGGAGGCCAAAGATTATAATGAAGGACCAGAAGTTCAAAAACAAATTAACAAAGACGTTATAGAACGTGAGTCCTAAAGTCCATGCTACATGCATTCGAGTTCCCAATCTAGCACGGGCCATGTCTGCGACACGAAGGATCTGCCAGGCTTCCGAATTCCCGTAGAGCGAAGACACAAAGATAATCACACAGACCGCAGTCGCGATCGTGTGAGCAACTGGAGCCAGCACCAGGTATAGCCCCAACGCGAAGGCGACCACAAAGCTTCTTCCCGAACTCCGCAGCAAGAGGGCAGAAATTTCGAAGTACCTGCAGCGTATAGAGATGTCCATTGCAGGGACCCCAGCGAAGATCAGGCTGAAGGTCGCCATACACGAGCAAATGAATGCCAGCGTGTCAGATAAAATGAAGGCGTCAAAGGCATAGCTCCCAGCAAGCAGTGGTGTGCCTGCCGCGTTATCCGACCCGGTTTGGTAACCTCCGGGCAACGTGAATGCTGACGCGAATGTCACGGTCGCGACAAGTACGGACACAATGCCCAGCATTTGCGATGCATTTGTTAGATGCGCCGAGACCTTGCCGTTGTCTATCTTTGGGATGTGTTTTTGGGATAAGAGGTCCGGTCGACTTGCACCGCATGGAGCTCCCACAAATTGCAATGATAATTGTATGAGACCCCTTGGATTCTGCGAGAATGAACAGTTAATATACTAGTATCATTTAAGCAATGATCTTGTATAAAAATATTACTCCCTCCATTCAAAAGTCTAAAATCTATTTCACCTTTTGGTTTTTCCAAAAGTTTAAACCGTATTTGTAATCTCTATATACTAAATTAAATGGAATTGCTAAATATTTGTTGACAGATTTTTTATGGCTAAATCTTTCACTTTCTAAACCGTTGAATGTGTCCTAGATTCATGCTATAACAGTTTAATACGCATCAAGATATGTGCTTTTAGGAAGAAAAACAAAACCATATTTAGGGGTCGATCTTTGACCTCATGGGATGAAGGCGTGACTGCCCCATTGGGCTACTATATTTTTATGATCTAGCTTGAACTTATATCTTACTTATACTATAATTACACGTGAGTTACATGCAAGTTACATATGTAATTATAGTACAAATATAGTGTAATTATAAAAATTACATATGTAATTATAGTATAAATATAGTGTAATTATGAAAATTACATTGTAATTATGTTACAGTTACATTTGATAGATTTTTAGGCTAATTTTCAGTTGAATGTTGTATAGATAGTCCCTAAATTAAATTGTTGACCAGAATCCGAGAAACCATCTTATTACTTATTTGTTTGTGTATAATTTAATGGTTTTGTTACGTAGTGGATGAGTTAATTACTCTTTAGTTTTGATGGTAAAATGAAATAGGTATTAAACTTTTGGATGGAGGGATAACTTATAAAGTTTGGGTGGAGGGAACTGCCTCTTGAAATAAGAACAATAGCACTAGTAACTTACCGAATCATAATAAAACGATGAAGGGACTGTAATCCATGAAAGATCAAGAGGCGTCAACTCATACTTGTTCGGTATGTTCAGATGTACATGCGGATTCCGAGTTAGGCAGTTAAAAACCGGCAGATTCCCTAGATGGACAGCTCGGTGTAGGGCGGTGTCCCCATTGTTATCCTGCATGTTCAGAACGGACGAAAATTCTTTTGGCATTCGGCGGCAGACATATTCAACTACTCTGTATCCCTCCGCCTCAACCGCGGAATGGAGGAACGTCCTCCCTTTGGCATCTCGCAAAGTGGCGCAGTCCGGGCATTTCTGCAGCATGGTCCTGACTACGTCGAGGCTGTCAGCCAAGGCAGCCACATGTATGGGGTATAATCCTTCAGCGTCCGGTTGATACGCTGCACATGTGTTGGCTTCTAGCAGCAGCGCGACTGCTGATTTCGGCCGCGGCCAAACATCTGGGAACCATTTAGAAAGAATGCCCACGTATGGCCACCCTTCCAGCGATGCAGCCAGGTGAAGAGGCGTGCTCCCCGTCTGATGGTCCCTTTGCTGCGCCAGATGCGATACAAGAGGCACCCTGATAGCACGGTCGCCTTGTTGCACGTCCACCGTCACGTCCTTCAGCCACTCCAAAAGCACAGGCAGCGCTGCATGCATGTATTATGTATATATGCAGTTGCAGTTTGTATTTAATTAATTGTGATAATCTCGATCACTCTTAATTAGCCCGCAAAATAAGATGCATGCATCCAGCAAAAATTCGCCTCCTACCTTACCACCCGAAAAGTGAAAAGTGTGCAGGATTGAGATGGAAAGCAATTGACGGTAAGGGTATATATAGGGTTCCAACACCTCTAACGGGTCAGTGTTTGAGCCCATCAGAGATGAGTTAAACTCACCTTTGACAGGTTAGAACACAAGGTTTACACTTTTGATTCCGGCAGAAATTTTGGTGATTTCGGTAGGACCAAAATTTCGGGATTTTTTTGCACTTTTTTGACCGAAATTTTAACTGAATTTAAATAAACTTTGACCAACTTCAACCGAAATTGCAATCATTGGCTAAAATAGTGAGACCCATCACATGTATATGGTTACTTGTGTTGGGCTGAAATTTATACCGATAAAGGGCCAGAATTTGCACCCGGCAAAGGTAGACCTCAGTCAGGTGTAAATTTTGGCCCATCACAGGTAACCAAATAAATATGACAGGCCTCGGCCGATGGCCTCACCTATTATGGCCTTATTAATCCATTAAAGATGAGGCCATCCGTGACAAGTACTTTTGACCCATCACATGTGAGCCGATCTAGCGTAGTGTTAGGCTGTGTTTAGATCAGGGGTGAAAAATTTTAACGTGTCACATCAAATATATGGACACATATTTGAAGTATTAAACATAGACTATAACAAAACAAATTACAGATTTCGCATATAAACTGCGAGATGAATTTATTAAGCCTAATTAATCTGTCATTAGCAAATGTTTACTGTAGCACCACATTGTCGAATCATGGAGCAATCTATTATATTATTAAAGGAATAGAAAAAGGAGCCTCCACGTTCGCTCTCATAGCCTATAAATTCTCAAATTAATCGGAGAAAAAGAAAAGGTAGAGTCCATATAGAAATACAATTTAGAAATAGCTGAAATTCGGAATTAAAAAATAAGGAATATTAGAAGAGGATACTAGAGTCCATATAGAAATACAATTAGGAAATAGTTGAAATTCGGAATTAAAAAATAAGGAATATTAGAAGAGGAGACTAGAGTCCAATAGAAATACAATTAGGAAATAACTGAAATTCGGAATTAAAAATAAGGAATATTAGAAGTAGAGTATAGAGTCCATATAAAAAAGCAGAGTCCATATAGAAATACAATTTTGAAATAGCTGAAATTCAGAATTAAAAAATAAGAAATATTAGAAGAGGAGTCTAGAGTCCATATAGAAATACAATTTAGAAATAGTTGAAATTCGGAATTAAAAAATAAGGAATATTAGAAGAGGAGACTAGAGTCCATATAGAAATACAATTAGAAAATACCTGAAATTTGGAATTAAAAATAAAAAATATTAGAATTAGAGTATATAGTTCATATAGAAATACAATTAGGAAGTAATAGAAATTCGGAATTAAAAATAAGGAAAATTAGAAGTAGAGTATAGAGTCCATATAGAAATACAATTAAGAAAAAAAATAGAAATTAAGAATTAAAAAATAAGGAATATTAGAAGTAGAGTATAGAGTCTATATAGAAATTTAAAACTAGGTAAAATTTAGAAGAAACATAATAAAATGAAAAGTAGTGTTTAGCCGTATAAAAATACAATTAACAAATAACTAAAATTCGAAATTAAGAAAAACATAGGAAGAAGAGTTTAAAGTCAATATAGGAATACAATTTAGAAGTAAATAAAATTTGAAATTAAAAATTAAAGAATATTGAAAGATGAGTTTAGAGTCCACATAGAAATACAATTAGAAATAATAAAAATTCAGAATTAAAAAATATATTAAAAGACAAGTCTAGAGTCCATATAGAAATATATATAATTTACAAATAACTAAAATTTGATATTAAAAATAATTAATAACTAATACGTATATAAAATATAATATGAATATTATACATTAGTAGTTTCGTAAAGTTATTGTAAAATTTAAAATTATATTGTCATTATAATATATTTTAATAATATAATAAAAAAATATATATGCTATTATATGAGAGAAAATATAATGATGTTAGCCGCGCAATCTGCGCGGGCCATCATGCTAGTTAGGCTTAAAAGATTTGTCTCGCAATTTATACGCAATATGCATAATTAGTTATTTTTTTCGTTTATATTTAATACTCTATACATGCGTCCAAACATTCGAAGTGGCAGGGTGAAAAATTTTGCCAGAAGATTTATACAGGCCCTTAGTATCATTTTCACGTACCTTGACCACGAGAAATAGCCGCATGCAACACGTTTTGTCCGTCGAGTCCAGAGTAGGACAACTGGCCATTAGTTTTGTCCAACAGATGGCGTGCGATATCCAGTTTACCCAGTGAAAATGCCAGGTAGAAGGGGGAAGCGCCACCCTCCCCCTCCTGTGGAACGGTGGCCAGCATCGGATCCACCAGCAGCAGCTCGTCTATGCAGGCCGTGCAGGCAGCGCGGACCGCCTGGTGCAGCGCGGTCTCCCCGCACTGGTTCCGCATCCTGAGGAACTCCTCCACACCTGGCCCGTCTCCCGCGGGCGCGGCCACCACCTCAGCCGTCTTGAGAGCGACGAGGCAGGCGACCATGCGGGCACCCCCAGCGCGGGCGGCGCAGTGCAGGGGCGTGTCGCCCTTGTGGTTGCGCGCGGCGAGGAGGGCGCCGTTGCTGCTGCCGTGTTAGTAGATCGTGTTGGCGCAGGCGACGAACCGGTCGCCGTCGCCGCCGCCGCTGCGGGTGGCGACCACATGGAGTAGGGAGTCACCCTCGTTGCTGGTCACCCCATGATCATCAAGTTGTTGGAGCTGATGATGCGACGACCCCGAGGCCGAGGAGGAGGAGGGAGCAGCAGGCACAGGGTCGACGTCCACGATGACTACCTCGTCGTCGTCGTCGTCGTCGTCGTCGTCTGGCCTAAGAAGTTCCTTAAGCCCGTTGATGTCACCGCGGCGAGCAGCCATGAACAGCTTCGGATCAAGCAGTGTGCCCACCGGCCGTGCATATGCTGCTGCGGTACTTATGGAAGCAACAGCTGGTGCTTGGGTAGCTTCGTCGGCGGTTTCTACGACGCCGGCCATCGATCGATCACTAGCTATGGCTTATTGTTAGTACGGTTGATCAGTGATGCCTGGAATTCTCAGTAAGTCGGTAAATACATAGTCCCTCGTCGATCGATCGACGCGCTTAAATCACTGGTTCTTTTTTACTTCGTATTTTCTGGCCGGGACGGCGAAAGTGACGCCATCAGAATTTTTATTACGGAATTGCTGGTTCATTTTTATTACTACTGTGAAAGTGAGGCCTTTCCACGAGCAGCGCCTATTTCCACGAGCAGAATTTCCGGGTGCTTACGAGGAGACGCCTTTTCTATTAAAAACACGTACTGAAATATTCTTTTTTTGATGGGACACCTTACTGAAATAATTGGAATGGGACATTAGTGCAATTGTGCTTAACCTGGCCCTCTGCCTTGTATACCAACGACAGCGACTGAGCATATCTTATCCAGTAGGGCTGAGTATTTACTGCTCCATCCGTCCTAAAGAAATTTTTGTTGAATGAAATATACTCTGCCCGTTCTAAAATATAAGCATTTTTAATATAGTATTAAGCCAAATATTTTTAACTTTGACTATTAATTAGAAAAAAGCTTAATCATGTAAAATTAAAGTTACTAAATTTATCATTAAACAAATCTCTACTATTATAAAATTGAAGATGTTTTTGCCGGTACATTCGTACGTCATTCGTGTATGAGTCGGTTTTTAACTTCGTTCACTTTTGGAAATACATTTACATATTTGAGTTAGTTTTTAAGTTCGGTCGCTTTTGGAAACACAGAAGGAGTCATGTAAGAAGTCTTTTTTTAAAAAAAAACTTGCATGCTAACTTGACATGATCGGACTCCTAATTACAGCTTAATTATGACTTTCTAAAAAATATATATATCCAAGCAAATTCACACAGTGAATTTCACCTTAATTAAACTGTATAACTGACGGAGCGTGGGGCTCCTCACCGGGAGACCGCGCAGGCCCCCCTTTGCCGGTTCGGCCGGGGGCCCTGGGTGAGATTCTAAGCTCTCGGTATGTAGAAGGTTCGCGAGAATGGAAACACACAAGACACGGGCGATGTATACAGGTTCGGGCCGCTGAGAAGCGTAATACCCTACTCCTGTGTTTTGGTGGATCTATGTATGAAGAAGCTACAAAAGAGCTGGAGAACCAGAGAGCTCTTACTCTCTCCCTCTCTGATCGTTCTGGACCCCCCCCCCAAAAAAATCAATCCCCCTTCTAAGTGGGCAAGGTCCTCCTTTTATACCTCAAGGGGATACCACATGCACCATCTCTCTCTTTTTTGTGGGGACTTATCCTATCTTTTCATAAACAGACGGAGACTTGTATGGTTGCCGTCCGAATGACCTTCTGATGGGACGGCCCATACCTACCTCCACTTCCGCCGGAAGCAGGCGCGACGTGGGAACATGGCTGTCTGCTGACGACATGACCAGTGTCAGACCGGTCACAAATCGGTCATTCTTGTCCACCACGCGTCAGTTTATCAATCTGCATGTTCGCCCCTCTTCATACAATGTCTTGCTTGTAATGGTTAGGATGAAGCCTGGTATATATCTGACCGGGACCAACGTGCCATCTCCAGGAGCTAACACGCCGGCTCCGGCTAGGGACGAGTGCTTGGAGGCTCTCATCCTGACGGGATGGGGCGAGGCGTGCGTCAGACCGCCTGTCGCCACCTAACCCACGATCTGATCGGTCTGTGACTGGTCACAGACCGGATAAACGAGTGCGCTGCACTGCGTTACATGCGGCGTGACGCGCTCGTCCAAACCGCAATAAATATGGTTAGGTGAGCCCCGCTATGCTCACCTACCCCATATACGCGGCGCAAAACCCACAAGTGGTCGGGGCGCCTCGGCCCTCGGGGCCGAGACGGGAGCGGTCCGACCTCTCGGGGAGACAAAGAGAAGGGCGGCCGTATCACCCTCGGGCCCGACCCCCCCCCCCCCCCCCGAGGGGGTTAGGCCACGTGGGTGATCATGTCTGCCTCAAGTCTCTAAGTCATGATACTCCCGGTCCCATGTCACCGACAGTAGCCCCCGGCGTTATGCCAGGGCGATCGCCCTCCTCGAGGGAAGCGGTCGGGCGTGACGCCACTTCCTAAGGCCTGGTGACAGGTGGGGCCGGTCTAAAAATCGGGACAAGCCGGTTCGTTTTTCCTGGAGATATGGTGATGGCGCTTCGGTCGGCGAGCGTAATTAATGCGCGCACGAGATGTTCCATCTCGACTGCCACAGCCGCTTATCCACCTCATGCACCGCAAACGGGCGAATAGGATTAGTGGAAGCGTGGGCGCGAGAAACGAGGGGGCAAGATAGTGGGCGCGAGAAACGAGGAGCCGGGCACAGCGTTGGCAAGGGTATAAAGTCGCCGAGGAAGAGATTTGCTTCCTTCCTCTCGCCATTATTCCCCTTGTCTTCGCCGCTTGCGCCCTAACTCCTTGTTTCTTGTGCCCTACCTTCGCCACACGCGCTCGCTCTCAAACATCTCTTCTTCCGGCATCATGGCACGGGGCTCCGCTCCGCTTGACGGTAGCGTGCTGCCGCCTTCCCGCATCGTGAGCGAGAGACAGGCCGGGCTGCCGCGCCGCTTCATGCCGGAATCTGCCACCGGCCGGGAGATAGTCTCGCTGGGCGAGGGATGCCCAGCGCCACGCTACCCGGGGCGGTCCGTCTTCTTCCTCCCTTTTGCAATGGCAGGGCTGGTTCCGCCATTTTCTTCTTTCTTCATGGATGTTCTGGAGTTTTACGATCTCCAGATGGCGCACCTCACCCCCAACGCGGTAATGACATTGGCCATCTTCACGCACCTGTGCGAGATGTTCATCGGGGTGCGCCCATCCCTTCGGCTGTTCCGGTGGTTCTTCACCGTACAGCCGGTGTCGCCGCCGTCGGTGGTTGGTGGTTGCTACTTCCAGCCGCGGGGGCCGGTGCTGAACCGCTACATTCCCTGCGTCCTCCGCAAGAAGTGGGATGACTGGAAGAGCGACTGGTTCTACACCCCCCTCGCCGACAAAGCGCGCCTCCGACTTCCGAGCCAGCCTCCAGCGCAGGCCTCCAGCTGGCGGGCGCCGGTAGATCTGGGAGATGGCTATGACGCCGTTCTCGACCGCTTGGCGGGCCTGCGATCCCAGGGGCTCACAGGGGCCATGGTGTACGGCGACTACCTTCGTCGCCGGATTGCGCCGCTCCAGCAGCGCGCCCGGGGCGCCTGGGAGTACACCGGGTCCGAAGACTACATGAGGACCCACCAGGGGGTCAAATGGGACTGGGCTCCTGAGGACTTCAAGATAGTGGTCCAACGGGTGCTGAATCTCAGCTCCGTGGAGGCATCCCTCATTCCTCAAGGAGTCCTCCCCCTCTGCAGCGATCCAGACCGCGCCTCCATCCTGACCATCATGCAGGCGGTCGGGGCGTCGGAGGAGCGGGCTCCTCGAGGCCACGATGGCGCGGGCGGGAGCCGCAGGGGGGAACAATCTACCCCGGGAGGGGGTCGTGCTTCTGGGCCCCGCGACGGGGGCCTGGGGAGCGGCCGCCCTGCCGATGCCCGGGGGAAGAGGAAGCAGGAAGGAACCCCTCCCCCATCTCCTCGCCGAGGGGGCGGGGCGGCGCGTGCCAGCAGCAGGCGCCCGGAGGGGGCCACGCCGACGTCGCAGCCCGAGGGGGAGCGGAAGAAGAAACGGCTCCGCAAGATGGGGGGGACAGAACCATCCCGGGGAAACCTTATTTCCCCTCCAAGGTGGTCGTTTAACCGACCCCCTCGCAGGTTCGTCCCACGCCCATCGTGGCCGTATTCATTCCCTCAACGCGAGTTTTCACTCATCCATCTTGTTTGTCTTCTGGTCTTTCTTCTGTTTCAGCGAGATCCCGTCGCGTCCCTCCCGCCATTCCAAGTCCGGCCAGTCTGAGGCCGAGGACCCGGCGACCACAAAGGCCCGGAGGCGGGAATCTGACCGGCGAGAAGCCGCGGATCGCCTTCGGGAAGCCGAGGAGGCCGCTCGGGAGGCCGCCCGGGCTCGCCAGACCGAGGAAGCCGCTCGGGAGGAGGCCGGACTCCGCCAGGCCGAGGCGACGACATCCTCCGAGGCGACCCGTGAAACTGACCGGCAAGAGGCCGCAGATCGCCTTCGAGAAGCCGAGGAAGCTGCCCAGGTGGCCGTCCGAGCTCGCCAAGCTGAAGAAGCCGCTCGGGAGGAGGCCAGACTTCGCCAGGCCGAGGCGACGACGACTTCCGAGGCAACTCACGACGAGGCCGCGGGCGCATCGCTTGGGCCCACTCCCTCGTGCGACGCTCAGGACAAACCAGGTCCGGGGGACATCCCCGAGTCCGGCACGTCCATCGGCGGGCCAAGC